AGATTGTGGCGACAGAGTCGAAAAGAGACCTCTGGAGACCAGTTTCGGAGAAATTGATCCACTTGATTACTGCATAGGCAAGCCTTTTATGCATAGTCTATTACTGGGCCAATTAGCTGAGGACTGTAATAATCCAATGAGCTAGCAACACCCTTAAAACTGGCAACCAATGGATGAAAAGGTCAGCAGCAAAAAGCAGAAGGAAGGGAACATGCTGTGTACCTGAGGGTGGCCAGGTTACCATGGTGATGGGGCTGGTCATAGTCAGTGTGCCAAACCACAAATATCCAGACCCGGTGAGCCCCTCACAAATGCTTTCTAGCTCATAGGCCCAACATATCAGCAGAGTTTTGAGTCTGAATCATCTCATTCTAATGAGATTTACAGACATTCTTTCATTCTCTGGGAAACTCAATCATTGGGTATCAGTTTGGCTTGATGCTTAGATATACACATATAACATATAAAATTAAATTGTGTGTTCAATGTGTAAATAAAGTTAGGGCAATTTAAGTTACTTTAATGTGACAGGTTAACTGTGAGGATTCTTTTGTTTCATCTTTTTTATGCTAATGATAATATGAGATTTGTGTGTGTGTTTGTGTATGTGTGTGTGAAATTGTAAACTTTAGACAAGAGTCCAGTGCTGGATTTCCTGATTGGGATCAGAAAGGTATAGAGATTCATGTTATTGAGCAGGATCATTCCTGTAGACTTTTTTTTTTTTTTTTAAATGATACCTTTTGGGCTGGGGATGTGGCTCAAGCGGTAGGGCACTCGCCTGGCATGCGTGCGGCTTGGGTTTGATCCTCAGCACCACATACAAAAACAAAGATGTTGTGTTTGCCGAAAAAAACTAAAAAAAATAAATATTAAAAAATTCTTTCTGTCTCTCTCTCACACACACTCTCTCTTTAAAAAAAATAAATGATACCTTGTAGCCTTTGTTCAGTGAAAATATACAAAGATATTTCCTACAAACATGATTCCTAAAGGTGAGAGAGTAGAAGAAAGTTCCATTTGAAAATATTGTCACCCTGCTACCAAAAGCCATATAAATCATAATTTTCCTGTAGTATCTTTGGTTCTTTTTGCCATTTATTTTAGCTTTGAGAGACAAGACATGGTGGCTGAAAAGTTGAGTCTGATTCAGGCGAGTTTCCTAGATGTACCACAATGTTAAAATTGTGTGTGTGGCTTTCCCCTTGATTGTGAGTTCCTTGAGGGAAGACACCATGTTTTATTTGCCAATTTAGCTTCACTACCTTAAGGGAGTCATGAAGGAAGAGCTAAATAAATAATTGGTGATCAAATAATCAAATATGATTCATACTATAATACAAACACTATTGTTTAAAATATAAAATCATTTTGTGTAATTTAGTTGTGGAATTATCTTTATAGAATATTTTTTTTCAGAAATTTCTCCAAGGAGGCAAAAATCTACCTGTTTAGATTTGATTTTTGTAGTCCAAATAATTTGTAGCTGTATTTAAATGAAAAAAGTAGTTGCTTCTGCTACACAATCATTTTTATTTTTATTCTTACTTAATTTTCCTTGTCAGCATTATATTTAAATTGATATGTAATATTTGTACATATTTAGAGGGTACAATATGATCACTTGACACATGTATACAATGCAGGGTAATTAGCATTTCTGCCTCCTCAAATGCTTACCATTTCTATGTGTTGCAAACCTTCAGACTCTTCTAGTTATTTTGAAATTTAATTGTTTTAGACTATGGTTATCCTACTGTGCTAGAGAATACTAAATCTAATTCCTCCTATCTATCTGTTTTGCTATCTTTCTCCTTTCTTCTTCCTTTTCCCCTTCCTAGTCTCTAGTGGCCACTATTCTACTCATTTCTTCTACGAGATCAAAATTTTTTAGCTATTACCAATGGGTGAGAACATGTGGGATTTGCCTTTCTGTGCCTGGCTTGTTTCACTTACCATAGTATTGTTCAGTTCTATCCACATTCCCACAAATGCTACAATTTATTCTTCTATGACTAATATTCTATTGTACATTCCATATATACATAATTTTTAATTATACATTCATCAATCAATGGATAACCTGGTTGATTACTTGTCTTGGCTATTGTGAATTGCATTGCCAAAAATATGGGAGTGCAGGTATCTTTTTAATGTGATAAATAATGTGATAATTTTATATCTTTTGATTATATATCCAGTAGTGGACTTTTTGGATCCTATGATAGTTCTATTATTAGGCTTTTGAGGAACCTTTGTACTGTTATCCTACCAACCATATAGAGAAGTTCCTCTTTCTCTGCATCTTTGCCAGCATTAGGTATATTTTGGATTGTTGATTATAGCCATTCTAAATGGGGTGAGAGGATATCACATTGTGGCTTTGATTTGTATTTCCCTGATGATTAGTTATATTTAATATTATTTATGTTAACATGTATAATTCTATATTTCTATGGAATATTATGTAATATTTGATACATTTATATATTATATAATGTTCTAATCAGGGAAAACATATCTATCTACTCAACATTTACAATTTCTTTTTTCTATGGGGGTGGTACTGGGGATTGAACTGAGAGGTACTCAACCACAGAGCCATATCCCCAGCCCTATTTTGTATTTTACCTAGAGTCAGGGTCTCACTGAGTTGCTTAGAGCCTTGCTTTTGCTGAGGCTGGCTTTGAATTCTTGATCCTCCTCCTCAGCCTCCTGAGCCACTGGAATACAGGTGTGTGCCATGGCTCCTGGCCACTTACAATTTCTTTGTGTTGTAAACATTCAAAGTTCTCTAGATTTTTTCAAAATATACTATTATCTAGAATCATTGGATATTTCAATAGAGCAATGGAACTTATTTCTCCTAACTGATTAACCTTTCTTCATTCCTCTGTCTGCCTTCCCAGCCACTGATAACCACTTGACTCCAAAATGAGTATTTTTTCATATACATGTTGGCAATTTGTATGGCTTCCTGTGAAAAATGCATGTTAAAATCATTTGCCCATTTTAAAAATCAGATTGTTTATTTTTTTGTGGTTGAGTTGTTAATTTCCTTATATATTATGAATATTAGTCCCTTCTTGGAGGCAAATTTCACAAGTATTTTATCAAGTTTTTTGGTTTCAATGAAGACAACAGAATGGATTTCATGTTTGCTCTGTGTATAATAGATTCTGCAGAGAGTTTTAGGAGGCATTCCAAAAGTGTTTTGATCAGTTGTTGTACCATTGAAATTGTGAGGTATGCTTCCAAAAGAAAAGAAAAAAAATTGAAAAACTAATCATTTTATTGTATAGACTTCCATTGGTTGTTCAAATTTTGGTTTTGTCTTTCATAATTCTTGCAGCAGTATCTAGACATATCTTCTGGTTTTTCCTCTAAAAATAGTCACTGATTCTTATTAATTTCAACATAAATTCCAAAAGATTGAACTTGACATTTTTAAAGTCACCAATTACTCAGCCTCAGCCTCTTCGTAAGCCTATATTTACTTTTACCCTCCATGTACCTTGTACATCAACTAAATTAAACTAGTCATTAGTCTCCTCTTAGTAGCTGGAGACTAATGACTAGTTTAATTTAGTTGATTAAATTTAGTTGATTTAATTTAGTTGATTCTTTCCCCTCAATATGGAATATTTATCTAATCCATATTATCACCTATAAGAACCTTTTCTTTCAAGTTTTGTAGAGATGCTAACCAGCTTGAATTCTCTTCCTCTTACTTATTATATCATTACATCTATAAATTTTAAGGCCTTTATAATTTCTATCCTGTTTTATGGCTTTTTTACACAAGTATCATACGTCCTATTTGACTCTAAGCCGTTTAAGCCCAGAAAACAAATCTCCTTGGTTCTTGACTTCTCCATGCCTTTTAGAATGGAGCCTTACATTATAACAGCCTTAATAAACATTTTTTTAGGGTTCTGAACACATAGGAACTTATATTTAAACTGACAACATCACAGGATTTGGGCACTTAAGATTATGACCACTGTGATATTTCTTTAAAAGCTTTTGGAATGTAGAAATTTATTTATATAAAATGTAATAGTTGTGCATATGATACCGTAATTTGCAATACAGAGTAAATTACTATAGAAGCATGAATAATTGGGAACTCAGGGTGTTCTGAATAATTTAATTTTCTGGTTAGCTCAGAGTTAAGCAGAAAATCCTTTTTATTTCATTTCTTCTTGAAAAATTCTTTTTGAAATATGCTAATTTCAGATCTTAGCCAAAGAGCATCATTAAAATTTTCTTTGATAAATGAGGATACTAGAATGCCTTTGGGTAATTATTACATACCTTAATTTTTCATTTTACATTGCTATATAAGTAAAAAAACAGGTTTTTTTTTTTTTTGCTTTGGATTGTATCTTAAAAGTTCTTTTCATTTTACATCATACAGAAGCTCTTTGCATATTATTTTTGAATGGGAACAAATATCTCCTATACATTCATGTGTTGTGTAACAGTGGGGATATGTCTTCGGTAATAGCACATTAGGTGATTTTGTCATGTGGAAACATAATAGAGTGTACTTAGAGTAAGATGACTATGATGCAAATAGGTAATATAAAATTAAGGGACTATCTTATATATGTGGTCTATCATTGACTGAAATGTTATGAGGCACATGACAGTAGATACTTTCACCCTTTATTCATAGAAGGATCCAGGATATGTGCTTTAGCTTAATTTTTAGTTGAATATTTCCCATCTTTTGTTATATATAAATATTGATGAAATATCAGTTTCATTAGATGTGCAATATACTTATATAATGTGTAATATATTTAACCTATGATAATTTTTTCTGTTAACCCTTTTTAGCCTTTTTCCTCATAATTATTTCTGTTTTTAAAGTTTTCCTTAATTATATGTAGTTTTGAATTTGTAGTTTATACTGCTTTTCCTCTGGCATAATTCTTTTGTCTTTTTTTATTTTTCAGAAGTTTTCACAACTAGAATAATTTAAAATAATAATCATGAACACCAAAGATTTTGTAGTTATTCCATGGGGAAAGCCTGGAAATTCTGTAAAGCTAAAATACAAGTAAGTACATATATATTTATTTCTTAGATAGAAATAGTTGTTAGTTTTTTGTGTATTTTAATTTAAACTCAAATTTTGTTTTTATCTACAGAGAATAGGTTTTAACTATTATAAATCTATAATAGTTTTAAAAACGCAGACTGTGTATTCCACAAGAATCAAAGTGAAAGGTATAAATAAAGTTTGGGCTCATTAGCCATTGAAGCATTTAACAGAAAATTTAAAAAAAATTGTAACCCTTATTTAAAAGTTAAAAACAATCATTATGAAATAGAAGGAGAAACTTCAAATAGGAGACTATTAATATTGGAGACTTTAAACAGAGAACAGAAAGCACTTGTCTTAGCTCTCTAAATGATTTTTGGTTGACTGCATCTTCCCAGAAAGAGTACTGTCTGTCCAAGATTGACATGCATATGCCTATAGCAAGAGCCACACAATTCTAGGTATCTTGGGAATTTCAGGACATTTTAGGGGTATAGGAAGGATCAACACATTAGTTCCCTTTGAGGTCCCTAGAGTTACTGGAAATCTTCAGGGACTTCCTCTCAAATATCACTTAGAGCCAATTAGCCTGACCTGGAGACAGAATGCCAATTTTTAATCTTGATTTCTGAGTCCTCTGATTCAGATTAATTGTTCTGTGGTTATTCCATGACTTTAGAGTTTTCATAATGTGCTCTTCATATTTAAGATACTGGTTGTAAAAGCATTGTGGAAAGTGATACACAAATATATGGCATTATCATTATTATATATTACCTTCTTTGTTGGTGGTAACGGGGGCCATCTAATTACTAGTTCTCCTTTTTTTAAAAAAAAATATTTTAGTGATATGTTTCAATTCTATGTGTCCATATCTGTAAATATTCATAAAACTGATATTTATTAAGTACATGTTATACACACTGTACTGCATAGTTAATATAAAAAGAAGTTAGTCTTTGCCCTCAAATAGAGTGCAGAGGATACAAAGAAGTAAAATTACATTGACAATATAGTATGAAGCATAGTATGCTAAATAAACACTGAGAGAACATGGGCCTAGATTCTGGGGCAAGGAGATATCAAACTTTTGTCTGAGAGATGTGGCTTGTTGGGTAGCTATTTGATGAAATTTGTAGAGGTACATATACTATATAGTTTTGGGACTTTTCAGACATATTAGATTGGCTGAGGTTTATAGACAATCCAAGTCGGAGTGAAGGGCAAGATCTAGATAATGACTAACTTGTAAGCCAAAATGAGGAGATTTTTCTCTCCACTACCCTACTCCATCAGATTAGCATAACCTTTCTACTATCTGGATTACTGAAATAGCCTCTTAACTGGCTATTTTGCTTCTGGCCTTGCTCCTTCTTTTTTTTAAAATTTAATTTGAAATTCTTATATTTATTTTTTTAATGTAAATTTTTAAAATTTACATATGACAACAGAATGCATTACAATTATTGTTACATATATAGACACAATTTTTCATATCTCTGGTTGTATACATAGTATATTAACACCAATTTGGCACCTTCTAACTGATAGTCCATGATACAGTCAGAGTGATCTTTCTAAATAAATGCAAGTCTGATCAGCTCTATTAAGATCCCTTAATGATCCTCATTGTATCTATAATACAAATCCCAATTCCTCTTTGCTTACAAGGTACTTTATTATCTGAACACTTTTCATTTCAGCAGGTCCATTTCTTGCCACTTTTCTAAGCCTATACTTAATTCCTGGTCAGAAGGAACTTTTAGTTCCTTGACTTACATATTACCTATATTTGTACTCTACCTTCTTCCTGGACCACTGCTCTCACTCCCTTCCTTTAACTGGCTCAGTTCTTTCTTCCTTTATGTCTCAGCTTACACCAGGAAGTGTTTCTGCTGTCCAGGGCTGGGCACATGACCTTTCTGTGTGCTTAGGCAACCCACTGTTCTTTCCTGATGAGAGCACCATCACACTATATCACAATAACTCATACTTGGCTGGATTCTCTTCCATTCAGGAAACTTCATCATGTCTTATCTCCTTTCACCTATCTCAGTGCTTGTGTTTAATAGAAGCTGAATATCTCCTTCTGAAATAGATATAATGAAAACAAAGACTTTACCTCTATATTGGCCAGTTTCTCTTAACTCTCTGGACAGACTATTCCTCCCATCATTTTTCAGATATCTCCCTGGATTGTGTCAACTTGGGGAAATGCAGTTGACACACTTGTTCTTTGGTGATGGCTTACCACCTTTATAAATGAGTTCCTTTCTCTGATTTCCATTATTTTTTGCTTTGGTTCCATGCTATAATGTGCATGTTTGCCCTCACCACTTGAATTGAGAACACAAATGTAATTATGAAGGGATTTAAATTCATGATAGATAATAAAAGCTAGAGAATTAGGTTGGCTTCTTATCTGTAAAAGAGAGTCAATGACTACTGCTGATAGGGATCTAAAATTGGGAAGTGAGGAAAATGACTTATATTGAAAGCTTGATGAGCTTCAAGTAGTATTATTAAAATTTCTTGCATGACAATATCCTGTTCAAAACCTTAATAGAGGCTTCTTCTTAAGAAGTCCCAAATCTACTCTGCTGTTATTCTCCTAAACATGATGTAAAGGTAGAAATTTATCTAAGTTTCCAATCTGTCAGTTCAGCACAAGTGTATATTTTCCCTAGATGGAATAAATAACAGTTTTAACCTACTTGAATTCAACTAGAAGAAAGTGAGCATGGAAATTAGAAAATACTTTTCTGTTCATGTGCAATAGATATTTGAATATATAAAGCCATGATTCATACATAAAGTGAATCATGATTTTAAATTTCTAGCAATGTAATAGAAAAAGCAAAGTGTTAAAGAGATACCTTGTTTAAGGAGAATATTAATGAATGTCAAATGCTAACTTTATAAAGATCATGTTTCAAGAAGTCTAAAGGAATTAGTTGAATTATTTCATCCTTTTTAACTATTAAACCTCTTAACTTAAGAGCAAAAGATCATATGAAATTATTTTGTCTGGAGTTTTACTTATTTACTTCAATTGAATATTCTATATATAAATCTCATATTTTCAGAAATGTTCAAGAACTTCGAATGGAGAAAGTACAGTTAGAATTGGAGAACCAAGAAATGGAAAAGAAATTACAAGAATTCCAATCAACAAGGAAAAAAGAAGAGACAAAGTGGGTGAAAATTTTAGAGAATTTTAGAGGATTAAACTCAGTTATGTAAAGAACTATTTTACAGTGTTATGCTCCAATAAAAATGTTTAGTGGATGGATATTTTCTGATTTTTCCTCATAAGGAATATTAAATTCCCTCTACTTTTTGTTTCTGTGCAATTTATATGAGGAACATCGCTTTTTGAATTACCATGATTTTGTTTCTTCTGAACTTCATTTGGTCTTATCCTTTCATATTTCCCTTTGGATATCACACTCCTCAGTAACTTTTGGTCTGAAATGGTTAGGGCAGCAATGGAAACTTTGACCTTTGCTCTCAGAAGATTGGTATTAACAATTCATGAAGATCAGTTTATTTTTAAGGCCATGTTTATTTATGAAAAAAATGGGGGGCAGGAGTTTGCATGAGCATCTGTTAGAATCATTTAAACCCACAGGTATGTCTTAAATGTCTTCAGCCATTCTAGTAAGCTGATAGTTTATTAATAAGAACTCTCTAATATAGTGTTTATAGGTATGTATTACTTTAACTGAGACTATTATTTCATTGTAAAAATAATAAATAAAGATGATAAGGGTCAGAGCTGATAGCTGTGTGATGGAAACAATTTTCTTAGCTTGAGGCTGAATCCCAGTGCATTTTTCTCATACCAATTTAATGATTAAAAAATTTTCCCCCAAATTATTTTCTTTGTACTTACACAAGTGGATTGACTTTCCAGTATTATGTGATCATAAGTGCTGCCGTGGATATATTTCAATATATATTTTTCTTACATGCAAGGGCATCTATGGGATAAATTCCTATCCCTATCATTTGAGCTCAGTGTAGACAGGTGCTGAGAGATTGTTTTCAAAATAGTCTTCAACAATTTATAACCATCTTCTAAAGAATATGAGGGTTTATATTTCCTGTGTCTTTGCTGTTATGAAATATTATCAAACATTTTATACAATAAATTTACTTTTGCTTGGTCATCAAAATGATGACCATTGAATGCCTACGATGTACCTTCTGAAAGTATTGTTTTTAGAGTCCACCTCTGAGCTGCACTCATGACACACATACATGCTGTAAAAACCAAAGCATTGGTCAAATCCAGGCATCACATACTGTCTGTCATCCAGATGACAGTGTTTATTATGTGTTTCACTATTTCCTCTTTATGATCATTTTTAACCTCCATCAATTTCTACTTAATTTGGACTTCTTAATGGATCATGGTATTCATCTGGGAATTGAAATCCCTGGAGTCAGTCTCCAAGAATGAGTTTTTCTTAGCTGTGGAACCTTTTTTGGATGATATTTTAAAAAGGTTCTAAAGCTTGACTCAGGTTTTGGAATGCGTACACTCTTTTCTTTTTTAAAGAGAGAGAGAGAGAGAGAGAGAGAGAGAGAGAGAGAATGAGAATGAATCTTTTTTTTTTTTTTTTTGTAGATGGACACAACATAATGCCTTTATTTTTTATGTGGTTCTGAGAATCGAACCCGGGTCCTGCCCATGCTAAGCGAGTGCTGAGCCACAACCCCAGCCTGCTTACACTCTTTTCTAAGGTTATACAGATAATAAATATCATGGCTAGAGTGAGAACATATCACCCTCTGGTCAGGAAGATTCAAACTACTGTTCTTCTGTTTCTCTTTATTATTTGTTACCTGTGTGAAGTTAGGCAAAGTGTTATATCATTATATTTTAAATAATAATTAGACTCCCTGTCCTGGTAATTTTGATAAATTTTCATGAGGCACAACTAATAATACTTGGAAAAATTGTAAAACTAAAATTTGTCTTAGCAATCTCTGTCACCTTACAATGTGGGAGCTCATTTTAAGTCTTAATGAGAAACTCACAATTTATTAGATCTGCTGAGTATATGTGAGTCTTGTTTTGCTTCCTTTTCATATTTACATTTGTGGATGCTTAGTTTTTAAAACTGCATGACAATCTGTAAAGCTTCCTATAAACCAGTAAAATTATCTTTTGTCATTGTAAATGTCAAAAAATGAAATTCTTCAGCTCTGTTTGGACATTTCACATCTCCACAAAAGTCACAGTATAATAGAGCTATATTTTAAAATTAGTGAGGATATTGGGCCATTATTGATATTTCATTTTCATTTTGTAGTGGTTTGTTACATGTTAACAGATGAATTTCTATTTCCTGAAACAGTAAATATATATTTGTTTTCATTAAAAGGAGAAATGTTTTTAGTAATTACATTTTGTCTTGTTTATATATATTGAAGGTCAAGTGGATATCATTGGAAATCTGGAAAAGTGAGCAAATTGGGTTATCAATCACCTGTGATGTCACAAAATAAGGGAAATGCCATTAAGGTAAGACGATACTATTGGTTTCTCAGGCAATTTGCTAGGCAAGAAGAAATAACTTATTATTTTAGTTTAAGAATATGAGGGTTTATATTCTATTTTATTCTAAGAGTTTGCATTCTATTCTTTACTCAGGCATCCAGTATTCTTGTTTTATCAATTTTTCTAATATTAGATTTTGATTCATGGAAAGTATGCAACTTTCAGCATTTAGATATATTTTGTTTTTAATGTAGACATTGATTTTGAAAAATTTACCTTAAAGTGTATATTTCCATTCCAAATTTCTCTAAATTCCAAACAAATTTTTTTTCATTCTGTTCAGGTTCAGCTTAAAGTATGTGGAATATAGTCATGTAGTTCTATATCAAGGTGAAAGTTAATGTTATTTGATATAACGAATGATAAACTTTATTCTTGCCATTAGATCATTTCATATTAGTTTACTGATTTATACTTCAATAATAATTATTCTTATATAATTAATGCCATGCATGAAGATACCCAAGAAAAAATGTGTTTCAGTGTCATAGCTACAGATTTGCTTTATCTTTACTGTGTGTTGTAAAATATATCATTGCACTATGTTGCAGATTAAAACCAGGCAAGTGTGCTTATATAAAAAAAATAGCTTTGTTTGTGGATTCTTTAGTACAAGGCTCATGACTTTGTAAGTTTTAACTTGTACAACTTTTTATTTTTTATGTACCAATCATTAAACTTTCATTGGGTCACTTGGCATCTACAAACATCTTACTCAGTACCTCTAAACTTTTTGACTTCAAAAAAGCGTTTGATTCTATAATGTCACTATCTTAGTGAGATATGCTTCTTTATTTTTTGGGGGGACAGTCAAAGGTGTATAATATACTTGTAATGTTTCATTATCTTTCTGACGTGTTTTTATTTCAGATGATATTGTAAATATAATATTTAAAAATGCTGACTATGATAACTGAATGTGATTATTGACTTAGTTATTTATTAGCATTTATGAAATGCTTTTTGGTCTTATAGTTCATCTTTGTTCTCAAGGATGTCCTTATGTAATATAAAAGATGAAGCGTGTTAAAAATATTTATAGTAAAAATCAATATGTAACTTTTGTATAATCATTTAGTATATGGACACTGTATGCATGAAAAATAATAGCTTAGTGCTAGAAATATTTGAAGGTTTACTATATTTGTAAGGAAAATTATGAATAATTTATAATTTCTGTTCTCAAAAACATTATAATTAAGGAGAGTGAGAGCATAGAGGGCTGGGGTTTTGCGGAAGGAGAGCTTAGAACAAGACTGGGCAGGAGATAGGAAGCCTTGAGAATTGTTGAGAATTGTTGGTGTTTTACTTGGCGAATGGAATTTCCTATTTTCTGACAGTTTTTGAATAGGAGGATAACAAGATTAAGGCAATGATTTATGATGGTTGATCATGTTCAAGTATCCAGTGTGTTTGGAGTTAATAGTGCATACAGCAACTAGTCTCTTAAGTGTTTTAGCATGTAGCACATGAGATAAGAATATATCTTACACATGTACTTCTATTGATTCACATACATAAACACTTACCAACATCATATTAATTATAAAACAAAATATGGAAATTAGTCAAGGGTAAGATAAATATAAATAGATGTGTCTTTTATACTTCCTATTTTTTCTGAGATCTCTTGGTCATGCAAGATCACTTGGCTCTGCTACTAATCATCCTCAAACTATTCCATGAAATAGAAAAGGAGGGAACCCTTTCAAACTTATTCTATGAGGCTAATATTACCCTGATAACAAACCAGACAAAGACACATCAAGAAAACTTCATATTAATATCCCTGGTGAATGTAGATGCAAAAAATTCTCAATAAAATACTGACGAATTGCATACAAAACACATTAAAAAGATACTGCACCATAATCAAGTGGAGTTCATCCCAGGGATGCAAGGTGGATTCAACATATGGAAATTGATAAATGTAATTCATCACATACATAGACTTGAAGGCAATAATCACATGATTATCTCAATAGAAGCAGAAAATTACTTTACAAAATACAGCACCCATTCATGTTCAAAACACTAGAAAAACTAGGGATAGTGGGAAAATACCTCAATATTGTAAAAGCTATATACGTTAAACTCAAGGCCAACATTCTAAATGGAGAAAACTGAAAGAATTTCCTTTAAAAACTGGAACAAGTAACAAACCTTCTGTTACTGTTTCTATTCAACATAGTCCTTGAAATTCTATCCAGAGCAATTAGACAGAAGATATTAAAGGGATACAAGCAGGAAAAGAGGAGCTCAAACTATCTCTGTTTGCCAAGGATATGCTCTTATATATATATAGAAGACTCAAAAAAAAAAAAAAAACCCAAAATACTCCACCAAAAAACTTCTAGAACTTATAAATGAATTCAGCAAAGTATCAGGATATGAAAATTACACCTGTAAATCAATTGTGTTCAGAAAGTGGGAATATTATTTTACTCACAATACACTAAAACAAACAACAAACAAAAAACACTTGGGAAGCAATCTAACAAAAGAGGCGTTAATTTTCTACAATGAAAACTACAGAACACTAAAGAAAGTAACTGAATAAGACTTTAAAAGATGAGAAAGTCTCCCATGTTTTTAATAGATAGAATTAATATTGTCAAAATGGCCGTATTACCAAAAGTGCTATTCAGATTTAATGCAATTCCTACTAAAATTCCTATTACATATTCCTATTACAGAGCAGTAGAAAAAGCAGTCATGAAATTCATTTGGAAAAATAAGAGGCCCAGAATAGCCAAAGAAATCCTTAATGAGAAAAAAATGAATCAGGGGCATCACCTACCAGACCTTTAATTTTACTACAGAGCTATAGTAACAAAAACAGGATGGTATTGGCACCAAAATAGACATGAAGACCAATGGAATAACATAGAAGACACAGAGACAAACCCACATAAATACTGTTATCTTATATAGACAAAGGCATCACAAACATACGTTGGAGAAAAAAAAGATAGGCTCTTCGACAAATGTTGATGGGAAAACTGGAAATCCACATGTAGTAGAATGAAATTTAACCCCTCTCACCCTGCAAAAAACTCAACTCAAAGTAGATTAAGGACCTAAGTATTAGACCAGAATCCCTGTTAGAGGAAAATGTAGGCCTAACACTGAAGCCGACTTCCTTAGTAAGACTCCTAACGTGTAAGAGTATAATGAAAAATCAATAAATGTGATGGTGTCAAACTAAAAAGATTCTTCACAGCAAAGGAAACAATCAAACACATAAAGAGAGAGCCTACAGAATGGGGGAAAATCTCTGTCATTCACACCTTCAATAAGGTATTAATTTCCAGGACAGAAAGAACTCAAAAAGCTTAACACTAAAAAAACCAAGTAAGCCAATCAATAAATGGGCAAAGGAACCAGACACTTCTAAAAAGAAGAAATATGAATGGTCAACAGATATATGAAAAAAAATCTCTAGTAATTAGAGAAATTCAAATTAAAATCACACTGAAATTTTACCTTGCTCTAATCAGAATTGTAATTAATCAAGAATATAAGTAACAATAAATGTTGGTGAGTATGTGGGGAAAATATACACTTATACATTGCTGGTAGAGCTACAAATTGGTGCATTTACTCTGTAAAACAATATGCAGATTCCTCAAAAACTAGGAACAAAACCACCATTTGACCCAGTTATACCATTCATTGGCATATGTCTAAACGAGTTAAAGTCAGCAAATTACAGTGATGCAGCCACATCAATGTTTGTGGCAGTGCAGTTTGCAATAGTTAAGCTATGGAGCCAACCTAGAAGCCAACAGATGAATGGGTAAAAAAAAATTGTGCTATATCTACACAATGGAATATTACTCAGCCATAAAGAAGAATGACTTTATGATATTTGCAGGTCAATGGATGGATCTGGAAACTATCATGCTAAGGTAAATAAGCCAATTCCAAAAAATTAAAGGTTGAATGTTTTCTCTGACATGTGGATGCTAAACCCCCAACAAGAGGGAGGAGAAGAACAGAAGTTCATTGGATTAGACCAAGAAGAATAAAGGGAAGGGAGGCAGGAATGGGAAAGACAGTGGAATAAATTTGATACAACTTTACTGTGTATATATATATGAATATACCACAATGAATCTCAACATCATGTACATATACAAAAATGTGATCCTAATTAGAATAAGATATATTCCATGCTTCTATAAATATATTCAAATAGATTCTACTGTTATATATAATTAAAAAGAACAAATAAAAATTAACAAAATTAAAAAAAATTAAATGTGAGGTATCCCCCAAAAGCTCATGTATAAAACAATGCAAGAAGGTTTAGAGATGAAATTATTTGGTTATGAGATTATTAACATAATCAGTGAATTCATCCCCTGACAGGGATTAATTGAGTGGTAACTATATGCAGGTAGTTTGTGGCTGGAAAAACTGGGTCCCTGGGAGTGGGGCTATGGGGTTTATGTTTTGTCCTGGGAAGGAGAGTGCTCCCTTCCCTGCCACCCCTTGTTCTTCCTAGTGTAATGACTTGAGCTGCTTTCCTTCACCACGTTCTTCCACCGTGATGTTCTGCCTCACCTTAAGCTGTAAGGAATGGAGCCAGCTGTCTATGGACTGTGACCTCTGAAACTATGAGCCTCCAAATAAACTTTCCTCCTAAAATTGTTGCTGTCAGGTCTTTTAATCACAGCAGTGAAAAAGCTGACTAAACACTATCTGGAAGTTTATACAAAGAATCTGGAAATCAGATGAAAGGTGTATGAATTAGAATGGAAGCAGAAGAACTATAAAGGGAAATATTGAACCAAAAATCAGTAAGAAGTCAAACATAATTAATGTCACAATCAGGATTTAGTAGGAGATAGCATAAAGAGGGGAAGAAAAAGTCTGGACTAAAATTTTAGAAGCTTGTTTGAATTTTCATGTGATAGTTGAAGCTGGGGGAGTGATTGTGTCCCAAAGAATTTGTATAAACCAAAGAGGTGGGATGAATAAAGATCAAAGAAAACAGGTATGCAGCGTATGGTGGCAAAAACCTTAATGTTGTACTAAATATGTTTATAAGTCAATAGTTAAGCTGCTTTTCCTTTTTAGAGTCTCATTAAGTACTTATATAATAGCAGTTTATTATTCTCATGCCACAGAGGAAGTAACTTAACTTCAAAGAAGTGAAATAACTTGCTCAATGTCAAGCGTCAGTGTTAAGATTTGCATTGCCAGTTCTTAGGCTTGTTCTAAAACAATTTACCAGCATCCTGGTGAAGAAGGCCAGAGAAGAAAAAGAAAGGCAGGAGCAGAATCTTAGTAGTACAATTTCACAGAAGACTAAAGTGAACGAGCGCATTTTTAGAAAATATGTAGATATCAATATTGTCTACTTAGTAGTGAAAACCAAAAAACACTGCAGAGTACCGACTTTGACCAATGTTTCTCAAGGGGGCAATTTTGCCTTCCTGGAGAGACTTGGCAATGACTGAAGACATTTTCAGATGTTACCATGTTACATTTTTTGCTAATGTATGTAGTTAGTACAAGCCAGGGGTGTTTCAGAACATCCTACAATGAACTAATGAACTGCCCAGTCCCCAGAACAAAAAAAAAATCATTTGTCCTAAAATGTCAGTGGTGCTGGGGTTGAGAAATCTTGTATTAAACTCTATAGATTAAAATTCTGATTCGGATCATTGGCTCTGTGATCTCAGGTAGGTCATTTAATCTTATATACCTCTGTTACCACATTCATAAACATGCCACATTTGTAACTACTTCACAGAGCTTAGAGCAGTTTGTGAGGTGATGTATGTGAAATCATTTTGTAATATTACTTAGAAATCAAACTAAATGTCTATTTGTGGAAAACGAAAATTTTCAAAATGTGAATTTAATGATTAAGTCATTACTAGATGTGAAAGTAGACTTCAAGTAGTTGAAAAAGTGTGGGAGGCAGTGAATAAAAACTTGTTATGCTGAACATGAGAGCAGAGAACAAATTTTAAGGGTTCAACAAGTTCAAGGAAATGCTTTAATATATTGCTTTTTAGGATTGGGGAAATGATGTAGTCCAGTTTAGAGGCTGAGTTATGTGCCGCTGGAGGAAAGATTGAAGATGCAGATGAGAAGTGTCTGTTCCTGGGGGTATAGACTTTGAAAAGGGGATTCATTTAAGAAGCCTTCACTAAGGAAAGAGAACACATTTTCTCTGAAGAAAGAAAGAAGAAAAAAATAATGGAAATAGAAATAAAATTTAGAGTTTGGGTTTGGCAGGTGATAAGAAAGAATACTGTGGAGGATTACAATTGGAAGCTACCATTCTTGAATGTTGAAGGCAGTATTGTTTTCTCAGATGAAGGAAAGGAAATAGCATAACTTTGAGGTTTTAGGATTGGAGAAAGTTTGGAGTAGCCACTGTGGGAATTGTGATTAGAGTTTAGCAGCAAATGAATAAATGGTTGCTGACAAACCATAAGGGTCTACTGGAGTTATTCAGCATGGATTTGTAGGAAACCCCAAGATAGTGTTTCAACAATAGTTGGTAGACACAGGAAGTCTAGCAGAGGTGATGAGGAGTTAAGGTGAGCACTGAGAAACTCTTGAGTTTGAGATTTTGAAGGTGTGGCCATTCAGAATGCTGCTTGGTGCAGGATTTGGTCACAATGGTGGGGCAGCTGAAAAGGCATTCAGCTGTTCACAGCAGTCAGCATGCTGGTGGGGGGTCTTCAGTACCAAGATGTCAAGTAAACATGGACACCAAAGTGCCCCACATTATCATCCAGAAATATGATGAATAGAAACACTGAGCAGGTTGCTGAAGTTTAGGTGGAAAGTAATGCTAGGTATTGGTAAAGTCGACAAGTGGACGATGGGACCTTCAGTAGAGGTGACTTTGCTGAATGATGATGGAACAATATTCTGGAAATAGCACTCCGGAGAAATTTTTCTCCTTGTCTGGTGAGCGAAATAAAGTGAAAAAGGAGCTAGTTCCTGTGGAAGTGCTTTGGAGAAACTGGTATTGAACAAAAGGTGGGTTTCAGTCAATGTGACACTTGGAGGGAAATATTTTTCAGGAAGGATTAAAGCACAAGATAGTTAAATGACTATTAATAGGGGTTCGGTGGATTAGTAAGTGTTTTAGTCAGCTTTCTTGCTGCTGTGATTCAAGGACCTGATATCACAATTGTAGGAGATGAAAAGTTTATTAGAGGGCTCACAGTTTCACAGGTCTTAGTCCATAGAAGACCAGCTCCATTCCTTGGGGCTCTAGGTGAGGCAGAATATCTTGGCAGAAGAGTGTGGCACAGGGACACAGCTCACATGTTGATCAGAGAGCAGAGAGAAAATCCACTGAGCAGATACAAATATATACCCAATGCCGTGCCCCAATTCCCACTTCTTCCAGCCACACCCTACCACTTAAATTACCACTCAGTTAATCCCTACTAGGGGATTAAATCACCAATTGGTTTAACACTCTCACAACCCAATCATTTCTCCTCTGAACTCTCTTGCATTTTCTCACACATGAGCTTTTGGGGGACACCTCACATCCAAACCATAACAGTAGGGGAGCCTGGATGGAAAAATTACCAGTAGACAGTGATAAACCTTCAGTAGCAAATTGGGCTGGGAATAAGTGAAAAGAAGGTGAGGAACCGGGAGACGGGCAAGGGAGAAATTAAAGATGGAGACCAGGCAGAGATACACATAGGAGTTATTTGTCAGAGTAGATAAATAAAAGCACATCTCTCCATAGATAGAGAGAGGCAAAACAGTCTTGGGGTTCTGGACTTTTATTGGGCAGGCTCAGGGATTAGAGCCAGGAGGTCCTCATGTGGGTGGTGAATGGTAGGGTTGGTATGAGGGAGTGGGGGAGGCTTTCTCAGAAAGGCCCTTGGGTGGGAAAGCAAAATTTTTTCTTAAAATGGCAGCTGACACTTAAGATGGCTGTCCAGATGCTACGCAAGGACCTTACAGTGAGACTATCTGAAACTGTGGCTTGGAGTTTGGGTCTAGTTGGGGACATTTGTGACACTAGGAGAATGAGGTCAACAGCATGGCTTGACTCTATTGGCTCAAACAAAATGTCCAGTTGTGCTGCCCTGGCCCCTAAAAGCACTCCTTCAGCACCCAATAGTAGAGGCACAAGTGGGTTAACAAGACATAGGAGTAGATCATTAAATTCTTGATGCTGAGTATGTACATATATGTATGCACATAATTGTAAGTGTATATATATGTGTGTGTATAAGTATGCATATGATGGGGCTGGGGATGTGGCTCAAGCGGGAGCGCGCTCGCCTGGCATGCGTGCGGCCCGGGTTCGATCTTCAGCACCACATAGAAAACAAAGATGTTGTGTCCGCCGATAACTAAAAAATAAATATTAAATAAATAAATAAATAATTTTTTTTTTTAAAAAAGTATGCATATGAGCATGTACATATGTATCCTTAGTCTAATCCTACTCTACCACCCAACTGGTTCCCAAACAAATAAAAAATCCGACTTGAAGGGATTGTATTTACCTAAAAATAGCAGCTAGCAGCTAGTTTACTGAAATATTTTTTTGCAACTTTAATAATTTAAAGTATATATGGCTACATTCATAGAACAGAAAAAATTAAGCATAGTAATAAAAAGAAATTATAAAATTTTCTTTTAATAATTGTTTCATTTTGCTTTGACACATCTCTTCATTCTGTCCAAGTTGCCTATGACCAGCAATGCTGTTCATATTGTAATTCAGATGTATCATTAAGGCAATCATATTGGATAATTTAGTTATGAAAATGAGATTAAATTATCTGTAACTTGTATAACATTACCAACTTAAAAATAAAAGTGTGATTCATATAAAAATTGATTATTTCAATCCTATTTTCTTTTCTGCTGTGTTTGGTACAGAAAACATCTGAGTAGCTACTTCAAAGAATATGAACAATAAATGCCTCTTCGGAGCAAAACCACGGAGAATAATTAGGCTTAAATTTTCAAAAATGACTGCAGTTTGTACAGCCATAGATATGGAGGCAGCCATTGTTCTCATATTCTCATGTACAAATTGGGCAATTGAGCATGAAAATTGCAAATTGAAAACTGGGCATGAATTGACAGTGTCTGTATAAATGCAAAACATCCTCCATGCTCATTTGTGTACTTTAAATGTTGGTTTTAGTAAGACCCAGGCAAATACACTCCATTGGCAACTCTGTGTTGTTTCATAAAATGTTAAAAACCAAGGATTTCAAGTGATTACTTACTTGAAATAATCAATAGTTAATCTTATTTACTCCATTTTTTGAGCTAAAATGTGATAGATAGATGATAGATAATATATTTTAAGGTTAAGATTATTTTACTAAAACATGTGGTTCCTTAATGTTGGGCAAATAAGATAGTAGTATTGGCTTCTACAGTTTTGTAAGCAGAATAACTCAGTCAGAATTCAGTTTAGATTCAGACTATACAAATATTAGACTGACTGTGTGTGCTTCAGAAAGCACAGAAATAGAAAAGACTTACTGCACCTTTATGATATTTGAATACTAGCACTTTCTTAAAATCATTTCGTGATGAAATATAATGGTTTTTGTTTAAAAATAAGTTCTGGTTTGTTTTCTAAAAACTGATTTTTATGTACAGTATTTGTAAAATTTCTTTGCTTGTTTATGCATTTTTCTCTGAAATTAGTTAAAAGATCAATATATGCTTTGATGATGATCTTCTGTTGTTTTTGTTATTCTTTCACTATTAATTTTTGTACAAATGTACCAAAATGGTACAGCTTTCAAATATTTGTTAGTTATTTAAATTTTCTTTGAAAATTTAAAGAGAACATATACCTGACAAATAGTATTTATCTTATTATTACAGCTTTCTACAGGAAAAGTGAAATTAAAATTACTGAAGCAGCAGATTCAAGGTAAACAGTTTACCACTGTATTATTAGATGCTAAAGATACAGTTCCCATTTTCCTTCACATTTGAATTACATATAAAGTGCTAAAATTGTTCATTCAGTATAAAATTTCACATCCCCAAAATGATGACATTTGATTTCAAAACAAATTTTATTCAGATTTTTTCATGGGGCTTTATTTTATGTCAAAAAATGTCAAGTTTGAATATGATTATAATAATAATACTTTTCAAAAGTGAGGACTTTCATAGCTCTGTTCCTTAAACTTTAATGAGGTGATCTTTTAACAGGAAAGATAATTTAGCAGTATAAAATTATAAATTAAAATATCACTCTAAGACATTACAAGAACATTTTTAAATTGCTTTATATTTTAATAACTTCTGTAAAAATAGTAAAAACCAAAATGCATTTATAATGATTTCAAAGGAAATAAGATATTTTCTAGAGGATAAACTAATTTAATTTTTAGTAGTTAACATAATTTGGTAGAATAAATTCTAAATTTATATACATATATGTATACATATTACATTGTTTATTAAATATGTTTATATAAATATAACATTTATTATAAATGTACAATATTATGCATGTTTCGAAACTTGTTCATGTGGGCTTTGGTTTGACCCACAGGAATAGGGAAATGTCATAGGAATTCTGTTAAGGACACTTTTTTTTAGCATTCTGTGATTCTGAGTATTTCGTTCAATGAGTTTTAAGCAGAGTGGACATGGGTGGATATATAAAGCCCTGTGCTCACAGGTGTAGGCAGGGGCTCCTATGGACTCTATAGTCAACTAACATTAGATTTGACTACATGTCATTCTTATCAATAATATCTAAGTACTTTCTGAGAATTTAGAAATGTGCACAGTTACATTACTTTATTAATAATCAGAAAACTAAACAACATATTTTAAAGTGATTGGCCTGATATTTCTTTTTTCAAGAACCAGTGAAACAACCAGCTAAGTATATAATGGAAGATTCCTCTGGAAGTGAAAAACCCAAGATAAAAGGGAAGATTTGTGGACAGTGTGAGAACAGATCTGCTCTACTAGTATGTACATTATCATAAACAGTCGGAATAGAATTTTCTCGAGTTCTTCTACACCTCCCAACTTCATCTGCTGCAATAGCCATGTACCTTCTTCCCATTAGTGTGCATACTGGCAGATAAGGTCAACAGCTCTCCTTTTCCCTGAATTGTATACTCTCATTCTTATTTAAGGACACCTTTGTAAATCTTGCCTATCAACACATAATCATGCTATAGTAGTTCCCATCTAAAACCAAAACTGACATCAAACCTATAACAAAAATTCTTTTTGACTTCTAAATTTTTCTTTGTGTCCTATTAGAATAAAACTCTTCTAAAAAGTTATCCATTCTTTCCAGGCATGGTGGTGCATGCCTTTAATACCCGCAGTTTGAGAGATGGAGGCAGGAGGATTCGAAGTTCAAAGCCAGCCTCAGCAGCTTAGTGAGGTCCTAAGCAACTCAGCAAGACCCCGTCTTTAAGTAAAATAAAGAAAAGGGCTGGGATGCAGCTAAGAGTTTAGTGCCCCTGGGTTCAATCCATGGTGCCCACCCGCCCTGGCAAAAAAAAAAGTTTTCCATTCTTGCTCTCATATCTCCCCTTATGTTCTTCATTATTTTTATGAGGCATAATTTATTTTTACCATGTAGACAGACCTTAAATATACAATGTACCCTGTTGACAAGCTTATTACAGAATATTTCCTTAACCCTTTGAAAGTGCCCACATTCCTTTTCTAATACATTCCTAGGCAACCACTATTCTGCTTTTTAATCCCACAGAGTTAGTTCCTGAATTTAGGTAAATAAAATGATATAATGTGTATATATATATATATTTCTTGGTTTCTTTAGCTCCACATGGAGATAAATGCATGCTGTTAAACCAATTAGTAGTTTGTTCAATTTATATTACTAAGTAGTCTTGCATTGTATTTGTTCATCCATTGTCATCTTGAATAACCTTTGGGTTTTAGGTTTTTTTTTTCTTTTATGTTTAAGGCTGCTATGGATATTTGTGTGCTAGTCTTTTTATTTCTCTTTCAAATAACATAATTTCTCTTAAAATTTGTGACATGAAATGAAAAAAGTACAGATAATAGTGCTTTTTGATAGTTCTATAGCTCTTCATTAATGCCAATTTCTTGAACATTTAAAATATATGATAATAAATCATAAAATTTCCCCTCCGCGATAAGTGTCAGGTTCAGTGGTGTTATGTACATGCCTGTAGTGCTGTCGTCACCACCATCTATCCCCAGAGTTCACATCCATCTTGCAAAATTGAAATTCCATTTCTAGTCAATAATAGCTCACTACTTTCGTATCCCCCAAGCCCTAATAAATACCATTTTGCTTTCTGTCTGTATGAATTTGACTATTCTGGGTTCCTCATGTAACCGAATCAAATAGTATCTGTCTTTTGTTAACTTAGCATAATGTCCTGAAGATTCAACCATTTTGCAGCATGGCTCAGAATTTCCTTTCTTTTTAAGGTTGAATTCCATTTCACTCTCTGTGTGTACCATATTTGATTTATTAAATTCACTGATGGAAACTTGGGATGCATCTAGCTTTTGGAAATAATGAGTAATGCCACTAAGAACATGGGTGTACAAATATCTCTTCAAAACAATGCTTTTATTTCTTTGGGATCTGTACCCAGAAGTATAATTGCTGGATTCCCATTGTCTCTGTAACTCTCTTCATTCAGTCTTGACTCTCTGCTAGTATCCACCAACTGTACCTATCAAGTGCTCCAGTGACTTCCACATTCTTAAATACAGTGTTCAATTCTCAGCTCTTACTTTACTAGGAATATTTGACACTGTATTATTCTCCGCATCTGTGACTTTCTTCGCGTGGCTTCCTGAGACTCCAGGCTTTCTTGGTTTCATTTCATTTTCTAGGTGTTCATATTCTCCATCTTTTCTGGGGTTTTGTATTCTTCTTGACGTCTTAGTGTTGACATGCCATAGGATTCAGTTCTCAAACTTCTCCTTTATCTATTCATATTCTTTAGGTAATTTGTTCCAAACCCTTGGCTTTAAAGACCATTTCTACATTGATGAATCCCAAATTTACACATTTATTCCATACCTTGCTCCTGAATGTGTCACTCAAACTACTTTCTGAACATTTATGCTTGAATTTCTAATAGGCTCAAAATTGAACCTCTGACTTCTCTCCAACAAATATTTTTCTCTCAGTCTCCTCAAATCCATAAATATCAATTCATGTTATCTACTCTGCAGCCTTTTATAAGAGCAAAAGCTGAGTTTCAGTCTCTAGTTTTGCAAGTCTACTTAATTCATCTACATAGCATTTATCACCACTTCATACACATTTGTTTATTTTTTACCCACTGTGTGAATTTCATTATGGTAGGGTTTAGTTATGTTCACTGCTGGATATCAGCCACCTGGAACTACACTTGCAGTGTGATAGGAACTCAACAAATACTTGTGGAATGACCAGTTCTTTACAACTATCCCCTCATATAGACTTGCCCTTCATTTGGATGTATTTTCCTTTTGGTTAACATTGAGGATACTATAGGATCCTTTGCAATTTATACTATTATACAATATTAGAAGCACTTTCCCCCTTCACCAATTCAATGACTATAGCTGTATTATAATGTATTTTTACACTATGTTTTTGTTTCAGAGAACTTACACATAATCATTTCTGACTTAAAGTTTTACTCTTAGGTTTATTTAATGGCAGTTTTAACTGCGTTTAAAGTGTTAGAATGCTTTACATCTAATGAAAAATGCTAATAACAACCTTAAGCTGAAAGTCCTGGCTCTTGTTATAATGTTCTTACTATTACATTGTGTTTTCTCATTTGATATGATGTTAGGCAATAATTTAAGGAATTAGAGAACTATGTAGAAATGTGTAAAAATATAAACAAATGCTAGTATTTCTCAATTGGAAACATGAGAGCTAAAAGAGACTTACTTGTTGATGCTGGGGTCTGCTGTTGATTTTAAAAAAGGATTTATGTAGGAGCTGTGAGTCAGTATGTTATGAGAATATGATACACTGTTGAGCATTTCTTTTTTTCCTCCTCCTTCTCTTCTTCCTCCTTCTCCTTCCTTTCCGCCTCCTCCCCTATTCTTTCTTTACTGGGGATTGAACCCATGGGTGCTGTGCCCTGGAATTACATCCTTTTGTATCTTGAGAGGATTTTGCTAAGTTGCAGAGGCTGGTCTGGAACTTGTGATCCTCCTGCCTCAGCCTCCCAAGTCACTGGGATCATAGGCATGCACCACTGTGCATGGCCAGCACTTTTTTAAAAACTTAAATTTATTTTAAGATAGATTAAAATACATCAAAACATTTAAAATACAAAACATAAAATCATAGATATTTATGGGATATGATGTGATATTTTGACACATGTAAATATTTACAGTGTTTAAATTAGGGTAGAAATATATATATATCTTTACAAGCATTTATCATTTTTTAAACAAAAACATACCAAGTACTTTCTTTTAGCTTTTTGAAATATCCAGTACATTGTCATTAGCTGTAGTCCTGTTACTGTGCAATGTCACACCAAAACTTAGTCTACCTAACTATGTTTTAGTACTCATTGGTGAACTTCTCCACATGTCTACCTCTCCCCTATTCTTCCTAGTCTCTATGCTATTCTCAAACATTCTCTTATTTGATAAGATCAAGTTTTTTAGGTTCCACATATGAACGTGATTGTGTGGTGCTTGTCCTTCTGTGCCTGGCTTATTTCACTTAGAATAATGATCCTTAGTTCCATCTATGATATTTCAAAGGACAGGATTTCTTTTTTTATGACTGACTAGTATTCTGTTATGTATATGTATGACATTTTTTAAATGCATTCTTCATTTGATGGACACATTGTTTCCACTTACCTATTGTTAATAGTGCTTCAGTAAATATGGGAGCGCAGATGTCTCTTACACACTAATTTAATTTCTTTAAATACATCTCCAGTAGTGGAATTGCTAAATCATACAATAGTTCTATTTTTAATTTTTTGAGGAGTCTCCATGCTGTTTTCCATAAAGGTGGATTAATTTGCACCCCCTCTATTAGTGTGAAAGGGTTCCCTTTTTTTCTACATGCTCACCAACATTTGTTCTGCTTAGTTTATTTGACAATAGCCATTCTAACTACAGTAAAATGATTTGCATTTTCCTTGAAGATTAATGATGTTGAAATTTTTTCATATATCTGTTGGTTATTTGCATGTCTTTTGAGAAATGTCTACTTGGGTGGAGTGGCCATTTTTAAATCAGATTATTTGGTTTCATTTTTTGTTTGTTTTTGCTATTAAATATTTTCATTTCCTTAAATATTCTGGATATTAACTCCTGGTCAGACGAATGGCTTTGCAAACATTTTCTCTCATTCTGTAGGTAGTCTCTGCACTCGTTGATTATTTTTCTTTTGCTATAGAGAAGAGTTTTAGTTTGATATAATCACATTTGTCTACTTTTGCTTTCATTTTCTGAGCTTTGGGTATCTTGCCCAAGGGGGCAGGGGGGAAGCTTTGGGTATCTTGCCTGTTTCCAGGGTCCTGAAGTATTTCTTTTATGTTTTCTTCATAGTTAGTTTATTAATTAGTTCATAGATCATTAGGTCATGGTCTTATAGTTTTATATCTTACATTGAAATTTTTAATTCATTTTGAATGTCTTCTTATACCTGGTCAGAGATTGGAGCATAGTTTTGTTCCTGCATATGGATACGTGGTATTCCCAACACTATTGAGAAGACTGTCTTTTTTTCCAATGCATGTTCTAGTATCTTCATAAAGAGTCTTATGGCTATACATGTGTGGCTGTACTGCTAGGCTCTCTTTTCTGTTCTAGTGGTTTGTGTCTGGATTTATGCCAACAACATGCTGTTTTGATTACTACAGCTGTTTAGCATATTTTGAGTCAGGTAGTATAATGCCTCCTGCCTGGTTGATGTTTTTAAGAAGGCTGTAACTTTTGATTTCTTTTTGTGGTTCCATACAAATCT